GTTATGCACGCGTGTATTCATGCAGCATGCATGCATGTATGTACGTAAGTAGGGACGTACTCAGGTAGGCAGATAGGTAGGTAGGCAGGTAGGTAGGTAGGTAGGTAGGTAGGCAGGCAGGTAGGTAGGTAGGCAGGTAGGTAGGTAGGTAGGTAGGTAGGCAGGTAGGTAGGTAGGTAGGTAGGTAGGTAGATATGCATGCATGTAGGTATGTATGTCTATGTATATACGTATGTATGTATTATGTATGCAATGTATTTATGCCATGTATTTAATGTTTGCCTGCTTCCCTGCCTGCCTGCCTGCCTGGCTGGCTGGCTGGCTGGCTGGCTGGCTGTCTGTCTGTCTGTCTGTGTGTCTGTCTGTCTGTGTATATGTATATATATATATATATATACATTTGCATATGGACAGTTTAGACCTAGATCTAGATATAGATGCAGATATAGATACGATGATAGATAGACGTAGACACATATCCATACGTACATATGTAAGTATACAAACTGAGGGTTAAAGAATGTTCAGCCCTTTTTGTGGGAAGAGTCGCGGCCATCATTGTTGCGATCTTGGGACCGGACCCTGCGCCCCCCTAGAACCAGCAAGACCTTCCAAACCGTTCTCCAAGAGCCCAGCTCTGTGCTCTGGGTACTAGAAGGATTGCTTACAGGATTTAGGGTGCGGTGTTAGGGTGCCGAAGAAGCAGAGAATCAACATCCTCCACATATGTTACATATGTACATATATATATATTGATATATATATATATATATATGCACATGTACCGTATAAATATATGTATATATATATATATATATATTCTTCTTCGTAGCGTTGAGGGTCCAGGGGACGCACGCCTAGCAATGAATTCCAGGTTGAAGCAGTATGCACTCGCCCAGATTTCCCCCCGAGCGGCGCAGAAATCTGCAGCAGAGGAAGCGTGCCAAGATGGAACCAGCATGTACAAAAACTGTCTCGGCCACGCGCATCTCTTCAAACAATCAGAACAAGAGCCATCAACGGACAGCCACTGCCGACATAGATAGGAACGTGCCATACACAATTTCCGATTGCTTGGCATTCGGACTGAGAGCAACAATTCTCCGTAACATTCAAAGCCTTGAGCCTATTCCTCCAGGGTAGGGGAGGCAAACTACAAGGCGCAAGCCCCACATGGTTGATTCAAAACAACCATGCCTATTCCGACATGCGGGCCATTTACAGTGGCAGGGTATGCGCAGACACGCATGAAGAGCAAGCTAACAACAGCACAAGCTACTCAGGGGGCAATGAGCTCAGCAATATTCCTCGCTGGTGCTCTTTGTTGCACTCGGCGAAAACCGTGTGTCCGAGTACTTGGCATCACCTTGATGATCTCTTTGACGATGTCGGTCTTCGTCTTGCCGGCCTCATCCTTTTGGGAGCGGGAGAGGACCTCAGGTCCTGGACCTTCTGTTCCTTGGCCTTTCGGGCCTCGTAGTAAGACTTGATGACCTCGGTCAGTGTCTTCAGGAGCTCCTCCGGCGCCGTTCGGGTTAACTCCGTTGTCTCAGCCTGGAAGCGGTTCACAGTAGCGTCTTCGCTCACTCGTTGCACAGAGCCCGCCTTGCGGGCTACGCTCACGGTCTCCGCGGTGTCCTTCGAAAACTTGTGAAGATCCCTGACAGGGGCGCTGTTTGAGGACTCCTTGCCCTTAGCCTTTTCCACGCGAGCCCTCGTGGACATGCAAGAGCGGTCAGTATCGCAGTGAATCTCCAGGACTCGTCGCTTCAGGTCGAAGTCGTAAGAGACCACAGCCGCCGTGTTTTTCAGCACGTCGTCGATTCCTCTGGTCGGCATCCTTCTTGTAGTCATCTTTCGCGCTGTCGAAGAAATTCTTGAAGATCAAGGCAAAGAGTTGGACCTTCCCTTCTAGGAGGTCCTGGCTGAACTCGTCGCTCTTGAGAGACTTCTTGTTGTCATGGCGTGCCCGCACTTCCCATCTGGGCCATAGCATTTGGGCACTGGGGCCTCGAGGTTCCTAGCTACAGGCGGCTCGGGCCCTACATATATATATATATACATATATACTCATACAGTTATTGTGTTGAAAGAGACAGAGAGAGAGTGTGGCAGCTGGGCTCCTATAGACTTTGCCGACCGGAGGCAAAGTTCACCACCGAGACCGCGGGCGATGACGAAAGCGAAGGCCCGATGCTCCTTGAATCACAAAAGCCTTGCGCACGACACCTTGAGTACGTAGAACTATTATGCTTTCCGGGGTTAAGTATTCCAACATTGTATGCCTCGTAGTTGGTACTTTTGGGCGCACATATATGCCAGTGTATGCTATGGGGTAGGGCTCAGATTCAGAGTTTAGGCTTTTGGGTTTTAAGCCTTCTGAGGTAGAAAGGATTCCAATGGAGATTGCCACCCTTTTCGTAAGGTCCTGATATTTGTGAGGAGTTTTGGCACCCCCAAGAGGATCATCCACACAAATCGATTTCCTGGCCGATGAAAACCTTCTCTTCAGCCCCGAAGCCCAGGACCCAACAAGGCTGCAGCACGAAAGCACTAACACAACACTCAATCTAGGTTCCCCAGCAGTACCCATTTTTCCCTTTTTCTTGTTGGGGTCTCTTCATTAAGCCCGAAATATGGGGAGCAAGGGTGCCCTTCTTATTACTAAGGGGCTACTGAACCCTGAGCCCTAAACCCTAAACCCCAAACCCTAAACCCTAAACCGGGAACCTCGCAAATCCTAGTCCCGACCACGAAGCGCGGCCGGCAGGCCCGGACCAGCTCTTGCGACTCTGCAGGAAGTTTTGGGATGTCAGGTTTAGGGTTTGGGGCTTGGGTTTTTTGGGTTCAGGGGTTTAGGGTTTAGGGGTTTATGGTTTGGGGTTTTGGGTTCAGGGGTTTATAGGATTAGGGGTTTTGGGTTTTGGGTTTAGGGGTTTGGGATATTTTTTGCGCCCACGACCGTCTATGTGCTTGCTAGCCCTGGCCCCAGGGGATGTTCGCTGTCCCTAAACCCTAAACCCTAAACCCTCAAGGCAGAAATTGAGTATAAGGGGATGTTCCAGCGCCCCGTTGCTCTTTAATGTATGAGACTACTCTTGGGTTCGCCTTTGCCAGGGGATGTCAACGAAAGGGTGGTAGCAACAGAGAGGCCTGAAGAGGTACTATTGCTATTCCTTTCAGGGATCCTCAATAGAGCTCTACTTGAGCCATGTTTCAACGATTTAGGCCGTTTACGGTCTCTACATGAACGTGACGACCCTTCAGGGCAAATTCTGAGCGCAAGGGTTTGGGCCATTGTTCTAAAGTTGTAGCCGGACTCCGGCCACACGTCTTTCTTCTTCTCGATGACAGGTTAGGGTCGACGGTGGCAAGAGGAGTTCAGCAAAACCTAGACCTAAAACGTGGTCCTCAAAGCACTACCCTGCTATGTGGGTTCCATCCAAGCCATGCGGGATGCACAATCACCATAAACCCTGAACCCTAGAGCTCGCAGAAAAGGGGCTCAAAAGAACAACTCACACCTCAACGTAAACCCTATACGCCTATACACCCTATACACCCAGGAGAGCGCTGGAGATGGCAGCCCAGTGTGGCAACGTTGATGCCTTGGACTTTCTCAGCTCTGTGGCTCAGCTTGAGGAATAGTCGTATATTCAGACTCAAAGGTTTTCGCCACAACTTTCCATACTTTGAGGTTTCCTTCAAGATGTTTGTTTCTTGTTGCTGAGGGTTTAGGGTTTAGGGCATCGGTGTCTGAATTCCCCCCAGTACTAGTATTTCACGTTGTATGGCGAGGGGGGGCTCTGCTTACTTATCTGAACCCTGATTCGTAAGATTCATCCTTTGGAGTTGCGATATTGCTGTCGGGTCCTCCAAGGGCGCTGTGATGCATATTACGACGGCTATGCTCCACACAAAGCTCCATGTTTGCTCACCTGTAGATGCTAATTCAGGATTGGGGCGGTTTCAGGCTTGGTGGTTTGGCTATTGGAGTTTCATTGTTTGGGTTGTTTGAGGCTGGAGGGATCCCTGTCTTGCACTTGTTCGTTGGGCTCAGCCCCAATGACGATCTGAACTGCAAACCTATGCATGCAACTGGAACTAGGGATGGCCCATAACCGGGCAGCAAGTTGAGATTCTGGGGCTGGGGTGTTCGAGTTAGATCTTGGCTGCTCGATTATGGCAGGGAGTAAGAGACCCATATGCCGCGGAGAAAGACAAGGGGAGAAAAAGACAAATTAACAAGCACGTAAAGGGTACATGTCTGCATTTCTCTGGGCTTTATTCGCGGATTGGAGCCGTCGGCATTGGTGGCCGAAGTGGCTCACGCACTTGTTCAAGCGTTGTCTGTTTCTCTGAAATCAGCAGCCCCAGGACGTAGTCTAAACCCTATTTACAATCTCTTCTAAGAAGGAAGCTGACCACACTCCCTTCATCCTATACAGTTAGATAGGCACTCGCCCCTGGAACCTAGATCCCAAACCCGCAAAACCAAGCCTTGCAGCTCCATACTGGGCTTCGGAGCCATAAAACGCATGGTGAGTATCGATCTCATCCATGCGGGAGGGAAGAAACCCCAAACTCCACAAGCCTGGACAAGCCTCGCCTGCATCGTCCGGATCGGGAGAGTCCAGCTCCACAATCCCAGACACTGTACCCATAGGCCCCTTAGTAGTTCCTTTTTGGGATTCCCTCATAGGATCCTAAATAGAAGCCACAAAAAGGAGCTACTATGGGGCCTATGGGTAAAGCCTAGGCCCCCAGCGAGGCGAGGCTTCGGGAGATGCGAGAACTACTCTTTACAACGATGTAGAAGACTTTTAGCATCCAGGGTTCAGGATAAGATTATGCACATGTGTGTATAATATATATATATATATATATACACACATACACATACACACACACACGCATATATATATATATATATAAATATACGTATATATATATATATATATATACATATATATATATATATACATACACACATACACAAAAAACAATATATAATACACACGCCTGAGGAGCTGGGGATTGGACCCCAAGACGCGCCCTCCCTGGCCATTGCTGCAGCGAAAGCCGGTCAAGTCCCGGTGTTAGAGTTCCTGAAGGCCGGTATGTATGTTTGTGTTGAGTATTGCCCCCCAAACAGTAACAGTCTCAAACAGTGTTTATGAACATTACTCAGTCTCAAGGGCAGTCTCTAGTGCTTGTGTTTTAAATCGGGGTCGGGCATTTATCACAGTGGCCTGACAGATATTGCTTCCTTACAAGACACAGGGTGAAGCCAACCCAAACTAAGAGCAAGGCAAGCTAAGGGAGCGATTCGACTTCCTGTGCCGGTTCAGTTTCTTCCTTGATGTAAGGCTGGAGTAAGAAAAGACCTGCTCATTTAGAGCTTTCCCCTCCTGCCCAGAAATTAGGTGAGGTTATGGCATTCGCCTGTCTGGCAGGACAGGAAGTGCGACACCATGCTGCTGCCACGGCATTGGTGGCTGCCTCCCTTTGTGGACCAGGCCACTCAGACGAGCAAAGACATCTAGAGACCGGAATAGTTCGTATGTGCGTTCGTATAGGGTTCCTACAAGGATTCTTTCCATTGGCCTTATAGAGGTTCTGTCTTTTAGCGACGTCTACTTCAAGAGACCGCTTTATAGAGCTTCAATCTGTTGGGGACGTCTACCTTCAAGACACCGCTGACATTCTCCAAACCCTGAAAAGACCTGGGAGTATCCGAGGGCACGACTGCCTTGCACGAAGCTGCAGCCTGCGGCCATGCAGCCGCTGTGCAGTGGCTCCTGGAGGCACTGCCGGGGCATTTCGGCAGGGCGGTCTGAGGCGTCGGGAGTTTACAGGGCGTTGCAGTGTCTGTCGCTGTTTTGGTTTGTAAGGGTCCATTATCAGGGTAGTTTGTCTCAGTTGGTAGTTTGTCTCAGTTGCAGTGAGCGCATATATTGTTGCTGCCTGTGGTTTGTGTGTATGCGTTGATCACCTTCGATGTCTTGGCGATTTGTAGGTTGAGGGTTTGATAATTACAGCGGAGATTTTTGCCGGGCTTGCTAACAGCTATGCTGCTAAGTCAAGTCGAGGCCAGAGACGTAAAACTCGTGGGAGACGTAAACTCACGGAAGGAACTGCTTCCCCGGGTCTTGGGCATGCCATGGGGTGCCACATGGCCCGATTTGGGGCCCAAATTGGCAAATTAGCTATTACTGTATTTGTACGCATGGAGCTTTTGGATACACCATCTAGCGTACCAAGTAGTACCAACTACCCAAGGTCGCCATATTTGTGTCCAGCCCTTGCGATCTTTGATTATGCTTGCCTCTTCAATTCGACCGGCTGGATCAGTGTGTGCTGGTGGGCAGACGCGCTGGCATTGTGCGTGCCAGGATGCTCGTCCTCCCGACTGACAGTGCCAATCATCCTAGTTTTGACATCGGGGACGGTTAGAACTCACCGAAACATCAGGGCATCTCCTGACCTGACATGCAAACGAGGAAGTCGAAAATTTAGTGGCCAGAGGGCTGATGCTGCTAGTCTGCTCGTCACCCAGTCCAAATGGAGTCAGAGAACACCTTGAACCCCTAAATTAAACCCTAAGCCAACAATCAACCCTAAACCCCCTCAATAACTACCAATACTACCTTAGGGGCTCCTGATTATAATCATAGTATCGTGGGCCCCCAAACCCTATTCTAATTATTTAGGCCCCTACAGTACATTCGAAACCGTCGGAGAATAGGGCCAGCTGTGACGCGTTTGTCAGTCGAGAGCTTCAAACTTGCAGATCGGTGCCCTAACCCCTTTAGAGCTCAGGGTTGATTGGGAGATATATGTTACGGTTTAGGGTTTAGGGTTTAGGGTTTAGGGTTTAGGGTTTAGGGTTTAGGGCTTTATACATCTCTATACTCTAGGCTTAGTCTAAACTTCATGAGTGTTTCAACCGATAAAGCTCTGGAGCCATTAACCTGAAACCTGCAAGCCTCAAGCTCAGTCTGAGTCCCACGGAGCTGCGCCCCTACAGGAGAAAGCTGATCCTTTCTTATGCAACGCTACAGGCAGGATGCTGGTCTCGAGTTTCGGGATGCATGTTGCGCTATGGGCTGGAGTGTTCCTTGACGAGGAAGAGTAGCAATATCGGCTCTTGGGATGCGGCTAGGCCAGGTGGTCCTCAATCGAAGCTAGAATATGTCTTGAAGCTTGGCGTTCCATACTTCGAGGTTCATGGGTAGTTGTAGATGTTGTAAGTGGGGTCATAAGTAAGGTTAACTATATCTATAATCTTTACTAGAGGACTCATATCCCCACTGTTAATTGCAAAGCAGTGGACACCAATATAGAGCTACCGGAAGAGATCCTGCCACTTAGGGTTTGTTTTGCGTCCCTTTGTCTTCTCTCCCACTTGAAGACTTGCTGCCTCAACTTTACCATGAACGCCCCTGCATAATTACTAATTCTCCTTCAGGGTCCTTTGCCAGAAGTTCTTCTTCATTAAACCGCAGGTCACATGATTTGCACAGCCCCCCCTCCCCCAAAAATCAGCCTCCGCAGGGCTTTTCTCGTTTAACAGATCATAGGAGAGATGATAGTAACAAGAATAGCTGATAATAGAAAGGAAAATTTAACACTTTGTTCCTACTTCGGCCCCCAAATACACCAACTCCAGCGAGAGGAGAGCCTCTCCACCTTGCTGCCCTGCATGGGCATGCAAGGGTCGTGATGGCACTGGCAGAGGCGGCTGAAGATCGAGGGTGCTTGTTTGGTGAGTTGGGTTTGGGAACCCAAACTCTAAACCCTGTTGAGGCTTTACGAAAGGGGTGAGGGTTTCAGGATTCGGGTTGCGGTTGCTTTTGGGGCGGTCCAGGCAGCCGGAGACCTGTACAACTGTACGAAAACACCCTATGGTCGGACTATGCAAGCAATGTGAAGATGTGGTTCAGCACCCCATGGAACCCACCCCCCCCCCCCTNNCCCCCCCCCCCCCCCCCCCGTCCCCCTGTGGTTCCCTGTGTTGGGTTCCCCCCATGTCCCTCACGCCCTGTCAGCACACTCCTCCTGTCCCTTGCTCAAGAGTCTTGAATGAGAGTCAACCAAGCGCATGCCCGGGCTGACTTTTCACGTGCCCAACCGAAACTGAGCAGGATAACTAAGAACAGTGGTGCTTTCAACAGTCGCACGCGGAATACCAGCATGGAAGACGCAAATCAGCGTCATTGTCCTCGGTATCATCGCCATCATTCTTAGCTGCGTATGGAGGGGGGCGGGGGTTGCGCGATTTGGCACGAGAGTTCCAAAAGAACGTCGACAG